CACACACACACACACACACACACACACACACACACACACACACACACACACCAACAAACACACACATACACACATATTATTTACATACATATTCCCCTCTTTCCAGATATTTGAAAATAAAATGTTTAATAAAACATAAAAAACAAAAGAAGCAATAACTGATCTAATCACATGTGAAGGATACAAAGAGAAAAACAAAGGATGTCATGTTTTGGCTTTTAAAAAAACCAAAAATGAAATGGTTGACAATCCACTTACTTGCTTACTTGGTTGGAGAATGGGCATCATTGCAGGCGGTACAATGCCATAGCTGCTCCTCCCTCCTCTATCGTACCAGTTATCAGCTGGTTGAATAAATAATTCTTCTGGCTTTTCCATGCATGTTCACAATCCACGTTTTTTCATTGTAAAGCAAATTGTCCTAAACTGACATCAGGTTTTAATCCTGGGTATATAGACACACTTTACAACCCACATCGCGAAAAGATAGTAGAATTATCCAAAAACTGACATCTCTTGGGGGGGGTTTTCTTCGTCGCCCGAGTACAAGAACCGTGTATCCCACAAAGAAACAAAATTGTTAATGTTACAGGAGAAGGAAAAATTATTGACAATTTATCTAACAGTGTATGTTAAAGATTAAAGTCGGAACGTTGTACTGTCGATGTTTATTGAAAGCTACATGTCTAGAAATTTGACACAAAATCCGCAACATTTCATTTAGTAGAAAGACAAAACTACAACGGAACAAGTGTTTTACTGCCACAGTGTGGGTTACAGGCTTATTGCATCCAGGCGTTGCCTTGCTCCCCTCCAAGTTGTGGGTTTTTCTTCCAGGTTCAAGGAAACGTACACCTGGCAAAACGTGGACCTCATCGTTCACAACGTTATCCTCGGCAAACTCTGGATGGAATACGTAAGTCTTTTTTACAAGTTTTAGTAAGGTTTTAAGGCGCTCGCTACTAAATAAAGTCATATGAGCGCCATGGGGTGGATGTCAACAGAGAAGTCCTAACAGGGAATCAGACTTACTCTGCTCACCTCTCTATCCTCAACAGCACAAAATCTGCTTCGACTATCAAGGCACCCCGGAAATAGCGGGTCACAAGAGAGTGACAAACATACAAAAGAAGTAGAGAAAAAATGACTATAGTAAGGATGGCGCAAGAAAAAGCAGCAGTTCCCCCCATGTTGTTCCGGCACAGTATGAGCATGGCATTGATAAATCAGCCCATTTACAATTCTACTGTGCACAAGAACATGTTACTATCCCCCCTTTTGGGAATGTCCTAAAGACACTTCAGTCAGTAGCACTGCCCTGGGGGGGGCTTAGGTCTACTAATGGGTGATTGTTAGGTGCCCTTGTGTGGTTTGCTCCTTCTGTCCTACCAAACATCCATGTTCCACATCTCTCCTCTTTCTTTTACTTACATGTATTTACTCTTTAGTGGCACCTCTAACCTTCGCCACTTATCCCACCTAATTGTATTGCAGGCTCTAAACCAAACACTACTTTCCTTGTCTTGTGTTTTATCACCATAACTGCTGCTTTGAAAAATAGAAACAGCTCAATGACTACCAAAATGAAAGTTCTGAAATGCTATGTATGGTCAACCCTTCTATACGGCTGTGAATGCTGGACAATAACTAAAGACAGTGAAAATAAAATAGAAACAGAAGTGCGGTTTCTTAGGAGACTGCTAAAAATATCGTGGAAGAAAAAGAAATCAAATGATGTGGTGCTTGATGAAGCCCACGTGGGATGCTCAATGTTAAAAACAATCAGGAAACGACAGATGAAGTTTTTGGGACACATAAATAGACACAAATCGTGAACATCTAGCTCTCACTGGCAAACGAGGCAGGGGTAGGCCAAGAGCAACCTACTTAGGGAACCTAAACAAATGGGTAACGGAGAAATATCAGGGAATCGTAGCTTTTTGAGAGCATCCGAGCAAAGGAATGAGTGGAGAACCATGATCGCCGATGTCTGTCGCAGATCTGACACTTGATGATGATGAATTGCTGTTTTCTTTTAACGTCGGAATTATTCTTGTCGGTTGAAAGTCCTGTGGTTATAATAGCGGTGTGCCTGTAATAATAAATAATAGCTCACCCGCCAATATCTAACGATCACCGATACGTCATTCAGTGCTGTGAGTGCCATAAGAAAAAAAAGTTGATGGAAACTTAAGCATTTGAAAGTTAAAGACATTATAAGACACCGGTACTTTTAACGTTTCGTCCTCATGGACTTCTTCAGGAATATGATAAAAGAAAAACCACAATAATAATCATTAATAAACTCATCATTTTTTCAAATTATCAGTAGATTCATGTTCAGTACAATGTTATGTAAATGCCTGAAAATCTCTTTCTCTATATATCTTCTCGAATTTTTCTGATGAAATACATAAATCTAAACCATGCCCCCTCTAACAAATCAAAACCCCCATGCCCACATCACTTCCCAACCCTTCGCCCCCACCTCCACAACCCCACCCCCCCGGCCCACCGACCAAAGCGCGGGAACATCCAGGTGTCCGTCAACAGAGGCACCCACAGCGCGACCTTGACCTTCAAACCGGCTGGCTGGCTGACCAAAGAACAACACCACGTGGAGGGCTTCGTCTACGAGGGCAGGTATACTATACGTCTATGAGGGCAGGTATACTATACGTCTATGAGGGCAGGTATACTATACGTCTATGAGGGTAGGTATACTATACGAGGGCAGGTATACTATACGTCTATGAAGGCAGGTATACTATACGTCTATGAGGGTAGGTATACTATACGTCTATGAGGGTAGGTATACTATACGAGGGCAGGTATACTATACGTCTATGCGGGCAGGTATACTATACGTCTATGCGGGCAGGTATACTATACGTCTACGAAGGCAGGTGCACACAGCTGATCCTAACTCTTGAGGTCAAGGTCATAGCAGACGAGCGATAGGACAGGGATGTAAGTGAGTGGTTGGAGGGTGTCACTGGTACGCCCAGCTCAATGCAGCAGCTGAGAACATTATTAGACAATAGATGGGACAGGGTTCTAAGTGGGTGGCTGGTGGGTGCCACTTGTAGGTCTTATTTCTATTCTTCTCCTCTTACCAGCATTAAATGGGCATTGTTGTGTCGGTGTGCTTCTCTTTATTCATTCAAACAAACAGACCAACAAACAGACGCTTAATTTCACAAATGGCCAAACTCATATTACCATTTAAAGTTGCGGGCCGAACTGCATAAAGAGTCATTGAGCAGTGGAGTAAGGTTTTGTATAGTGGAGAATCCCCTCAGGATGGACTAACTAGAACTTTCTCTCGGGCCGAATGTTCTTTGTTCACCGTGCTGGATGTGGGTCTCTCGAAGTCCAACCCCTCGTCCACGCCGTGGGAGATGGAAACAGGACAAAGTAGGGGATAGCTGGGTTTGGGTGAAGTACGGTGTGACTTTATGTCACTGAGGCGTTACGCTAGCCGTGAAGGCCGACCCGGGTCACCCCGAAACTGCGACTGGCTTAGCAGGCCGGCACTGGATATTTAATATTGCTCAAGAAAACATCAGAAGACACAAACGGACTGATCAAAACGGAAAACGACCTGGCGAGAAAAATGGACAACGATCAAGAAAAAATGAAAAAATAGGGACGTGGAACATTTGCAGCTTGACAAATAAAGAACCTGAGATAGTGGAGTTCATGACCCAGGACAAGATCCCCATCATGGGCATTACAGACATCAGTAAAAACGGGACAGGCACAAAAGA